TCAAGGAAAACAGCGACGAGGCGCGCTGGGCAGTGACTTGTGATCTCTTTCAGACCCTAAACCCTAAACCCAATTTTCCGGGTGGTGGTCTTTAGAGGTCGAAGGCTGCCGGCAGTGTGCCAAACTCAAGGGTTTTTATGGGAGTTGAGTGTTTAGAGCTGCTGTCTGGTGGGGTTTAGGGTTTAGGGTTTAACTAGGGGGGCTTGTGGGCTAGGGGCTAGGGTTCGGGGTGTTTGGTGCAGGCTAAGGGGTTCAGGGCTTTCAGGGTGTCGGGGTTTGCGGGCTTTAGCCTGCAGGGCTTGGCTAGGAGATGAGGGGCTTTACAGCTCAAGACTTCTTGGGGTTTAAGAGGTTGAAGGGCGCTGAGGTCTCGGGTTCATCTCTCTCGACTTTTGTCGTCCGGATTTAGGACTACAGGGTCTCAGGGCCTAAACCCTAAGCCCCCCATACATCTTTGAAGCCGAACTATGCCAACTTTCAGGTTCCAGAAGCTATAAGCCTCCACATTAACCGACCAAGCCTGTTTTTTTATTGTAGGGCCCTATTGATTTAGGGTTCAGAATGAACAAGTTAGTAAGGACCCAGGTATGGCTAAACAAGACTCTATCACTCCATTACAAGTCTTCGTTTATTCCTTATGACATGGTTGCAATCTCAAGACCCCGCGCCCTTTCAAGCAAAGTTCTCCGAGTCAGCTCTCAGCCCACTGTAGGCCCTATTCGGAAGATACGCTCATCGACACTAGATCTTTCACACCTCCAAAAGTTTAGGGTTTAGCGGTCTAGGGGTTTATAGTATGGTTTAGGGTGTACCTGCGCCCCCCCCCCCAACCTTGTCAATGATTGTCAAGCGTGCCCCCTAAGGCCCAGAAGTGAGGGCAAGAACAATCGCACCCGATAAACCCTGTAAGCCCTATCAAGCCTAACTAAATCTCGGCCTAGATAAGCCATATGTAGTATATACACATGTGTATATATATATATACAAACCCTATAAACCGATATCAACCCTATGCCCAAAACCCAAGGCCCGGATCACTGCCACCCGACGCCGCAACGCCCACCGCGCCGCGGAGTTGACGGTGGAGCTCGCGCGCCGGGAGGCGGACGCACGGTTTGCTGGTTATATAATTAGGGCTTGTAGCGTTTATGTAAAGCTCTTATAGGGCATTTGCGGTATATGGTTTGGGATTTGGGTTTTATCAGAGCTTGCAGGGTTTTATGTTTTTGTTTTTCTGCGTTAGGGATTTAAGGGGTTTAGGGGTGTCTGGGGTTTGAGTGTGGAGTGGATTCGCGGCAAATAGCCCAGGATGTAGGGTTTAGGGCTACATTGCTTCACTGTGGAATGGCATTTAAGCGGACAAACTATCCCCGATACTTTAGGGGGTCAAGGATACAGGATTGACATCACCGGTGTTGATACACACGTCAGTGAATTGAAAACGTCCGTCAGATTTGACGGGTCTTGTGATATTGCGAGTCTGTGGGCTTGGCTTGGGGGGGTTTGGCTCTAGTGATTGTGCCTAACAAGCCTCCAATGCAGAGGCTATATGTACCCCTAAACCTTCCAGGGGCTTGGGACTTGCAGAGGTTGTCCTGTAATGGTCTTCCTAAAGCTGCTGAGTATATGAAGATCGATGTCAGTGACTGGTGTGCAGTTTCTCGGGACCCCAAACTTCTTGGCGAAAGCCAGCTAGGTCAATAAGACCATGGAGCACCCTAAACCCCAAACACAGATCGAAAAATCCCATCATCTAGGATGAAACCATGGGCCCCTAGTAGGGGCCCTTAACCCTGGGATCCTTATACACTGTTATATATAGGGTACCTTTAAGGGTCCCTAGAAAGGCCTAAGAGTCCATGTTAGGGGCCCATCCTTCTAACCTTAGACATCAGCGGGAGCTGCAGGGTGCGAGCTGACCCCCTCCAACTCCCTGCTACCTTCCTTGGGGTTTAGGGTGTCTTGCTGTCCTAAAACAGCAGTGCCAAGGGCGCCAAGCCATCTGTTACTTGGAGGTTCATGGGTAGTTATAAGTCGGGTTATAAGTCCCCTAATATGGGTTATAAGTTATAGCTATAGTTACCCTACTTATAAGCCCACTTATAACTACCCATGAAGCTCCAAGTACCCTCCGGGTTTGCGATCTCGTGACTCGTGGTAGACTCCGGGTCGAACCTACGCCAGCCACACCATCCTGGCAACGCAAAGATGAATCGCAAGCCTCAACCTCGCGGGTTCCCAGTCGTATGATATGTGTGCATAAATGTACATACAGATCCCAGGAGAAACCGGTCCTCCTTCCCTACTGAGCATCGGTACTTTGACCGCTACTTTAAGGATCACCGTTTATAGTGAATCTGTTCCTGTAAGCCGGAATCTAGTACATGCCCGTATTGGGGTCACGGTAGCTATGACCGCTACTTGAACAACAGGTCCTAAGTGATTACCTATGTATGGACGGGGGGTACTTACACAGACATACCCTACGAACCCAAAGTCGTAGGCCGTCCCTCAGGTCGTTCGCTCTCGGCTCGCCTTTGAGGCTGGCTTCAGGGTTCCACGGCCTAGTGGATGTGGGATTTCCCAAGGGCTCCAAGTATGCAAATGGTACCTACTTTGGGGCCTAAAGTCTATAAATCGGACTTACTTTGGGCTATTTGGAGCCCTAGGATTTACGTTTCAGGGAGAGGGCCTCGATCTCCTTAGAAACGGAAAATGGAACCTCAGAAGGGCCCAGTCAAGAGTGGCGTCCTTTCAAGAGGGGGTTTTATTGGGCTCCACGTTGTTTCAAGACGGGTCTGCTCGAGAATGCTCAACAGTGTTCGACATCAGGGCCAGTTCAGAAGCCCTTCTTTCTCTCAGCTCCCCACATAAACATAAGCGGAACCCTCGTCACAGTTTCCGACAGGCATTGATCCCAAAACCCTAAACCCTGAACCCGAAACTTGTTTCGGTCTTCCAGCAAGGATCCCTTCATTTCTGCAGCTCCCGGCTACGAATCCTCCATGTCACCGTTTCCATTAGCATAACTATAATACCGTAATAATACTGCAATAGCAGTAGTCATCGAAAGTACCACCATCAACATGAGCATCATAACCATAATCATCGTGATCAACTCATAACCAGTATCAATGCTGTCGTTGTCAGGGTAGGACGGGTAGGAGTTGTCGGCATCGTAGTGAGTACGACGGCGGCGACGAGCAATCCTACCTCCAATTCTTCTTTTACCACTGACAAGGACAACAGCCATCCCAACGCTGAAGTACTGATAGTTGCAGTCGTGGAAATACTGTTCCGCTTGCATTGGTCAACACGACAGACTCAATCTCAAAGCCTGCAACTATTCCCTCGCCCAGCGCAAGCGCACACCCTGCAGTCGAGTTCTTGAGCCCAGAATCATGAATCCTAAATCCTACCCATAGGCTCCATAGTAGTTCCTTTTTGGGATTACCCTATAGGATCCTAAATATAAACCACAAAAGTAACTACAAAAGGAACTACTTGAAAAGCCCTATGGGCAAAGCCTAAACCTTCAAGCCCAGAGTTGACAATACCTGACCTAAACCCTAAACCCTAAACCCTAATCCCAAACCTCATGGTGCTGCCAGCTTGGAGAGTGGGCCCTCAAGCTGGCAGAGGACCGTTGTGCTTGCGGGGGAATCCGGGGTTGAGTCTTGCGGCTCCGAAGGTAGGGGGCTAAATAATTACCCATACTATGTTGGGGCTCCTCATTGTACGATAAAGGTATATTAGAGTCTATAGGAGTATAACACAACCCAACCCAAAACCCTATTCCAATTCCCTAGATTTCTCCAAGGATCACAAGAGCCCAAAAGCATCGACAAGCATGGTCTCTGGTTGGAGGTTCATGGGTAGTTATAAGTGGGGTTATATAAGTAGGGTAACTATAGTTTTTGCCCATATTAGGGGACTTATAACCCCACTTATAACTACCCATGAACCTCCAAGTGGTTAGTTTTGGTCTGAATCAGGATACCCAGCCGTGCAGCGATCCCACCGACCTTGACGAAGAGCCGAAGGCAGCTTCAGGGTTTGGGTTTATTATCATTATTATTAGTATGATTTCTATTATTATTCTATTATTATCATTATTGTTGCTGTTGTTGTTGATGATGTTGTTGATGTTGTTGTTGTGGTTATGATTATGATTATGACTATGATTATGATTATGATTATGATGATGATTATGATTATTATTACGACTATTATCATTATAATTCTAGTTATTATAGTTGTTATTATCCTTATTGCTATTATTATTACTATTGTTATTATTATTGTTATTATTATTGTTGTTATTATTTGTTGTTATTGTTATTTTTGTTATTATTATTTCTACTACTTACTACGATACTACTACTACTACTACTACTACTACTACTACTACTACTACTACTCCTGCTGCTGCTGCTGCTGCTGCTACGACTACTACTACTACTACTACTACTACTGTTATCAATTATTATTGCTATTGTTATTATTATTACTGTTAGTAATGTATATGTATGTGTATATATATATATAGAGAGAGGCACATACATATACATATGTATATATATATACACACGTGTATATGTACATGTCATGTAGAGTATGTGTGTCTATGTATATGGTGTGTATATATACATATATATATATACACATATATAGATTGTTGGGGCTTATGGAGTTTATGGGGTATGTAGGGATTATACTGCTCCGGGTTGGGGCTTATGGTTTAGGGTGTAAGAGTACCTTCCAGGGTTCCTGTAAAGGCTCCAGAAGTGTACTCTAACGGGTTTGGGGTTGATGGCTTGGACATAGGGCTTAGGGCTTTTTGGGTTTTGAGGTTCAGGGAATCTAAACTGCGGAAGGTCATCGTTCCAGCATTTCAGGTCGTATGCTTAGGGGTTTAGCTGAGTCCCGACAGCTCTAGAACATCACTGTCACCTCGCAGTCATGTCAGCGAAGACGATGTGGAACCGATCACCGAGATGATCATCGCTGACGAAGGTAGTCAGCCGAGTGATGGGAGAGGAAGCGGATCCGCGATATGCCTCAAGAACCAGCTCAAGCCTCCACCCCAAACCCTTATAGTTCATCTTAGGAAGCCCTGGTCGACAAGAACCGGAACCCACTAAAGATGCTTGAGCCGTTGCTGTTTGCAGGAGGCTGTATTTCGCCCTCAGCTCCAGGCGTGCTCCAAAAGAATCGGTCTGTCAGGGATTGGGGTCTGGGGTGCAGGGTGTTAGGTTCAGGATTCGGGGTCTGGGGTTTAGGGTTCAGGGTGTGAGGTTTAGGGTTCAAGGTTTAGGGTTTAAGTTCAGGGTTTGGGATTTTGGAGGCGCTGGGCCTTGAGTGAGGCCTGAGGGTTAATTGCGGCGGAGTGCCTTGGATTGTGGGCGTCTGGTCAAGGGTTTAGCCTGCGATGATAGATCATGGTCGTCAAGACTTTGGGGAATGCGCGTGTCGCTTGTGAAGGTTTTTGAAGCAGGAAGCCCTGTTCTCTTTTGGCTTTTGTGCGGCCTCGGCAACATGGAAGCAAACAAAAAAAAATTGACGGTGCAATCTCCGTCCTTGTACGACACATGCACACTTAACACCCCCCTAAACCCTAAACCCGTAAACCCCCAAACCTTAACACCAGCTTAAGACCCTGGAGATTGAGGGCATCTCGGCCCAGGCAGCCTTAGCCGCTTAGAGCCTTCAGCACGTCACCCTACCCAATCCATCTTCAATGCCTCAGGGCTCTTTGGTCTTCAGCAGAATCTGAACACTTAGGGGTAGTCTAGCTAGGAAGCCCTAAACCCCAAACCTCAAACCCTAAACCCTGAACCTCAACCCTACAAACTTTTCAACTCTTGGCCGCTAGCGCCTCCCTCCTCAGAGGGAGTCCTGAATTCCGCAAACAACCCGAAGCCCTCAAACGCTGCTCGAAAATCAGCATCTTTGGGGGCTTAGGGTTCGGATTTAGGGTTGCTATGGGTTTGAGTTTGGGTGTAGGGTTTTGAGTTTAGGGTTTAGGCGCTTAGGGTTTAGGGTTACTATGGTTTTAGGGTTTACGGTTTTTGGGGCTTTGAGTTTAGGGTAAGGCTTTAATTTAGGGGCTCGCTCTCACATCTGGCCCGATGCTTCAAATGTTCCAAAACAACCAAGATCTTACCCTTAATTACTTTCCCGAGCGCTGAAAGGATTAAAAAAATCTCTGAAGCCCAAACGTGTTAAACCTAAACCCGTAACCCCAGCCGCCAAAAAAAAAGGCAAAACGCCCAACCACAAACCTTCAACCCTATGCCATAAGCCCTGGGCCCTGAACCCTTAAGAACCCTCAGCCCCCTAAACCCTAAACCCAAAAAGCCCTAAACCCTTAGCCCCCTAAACCCTAAACCCTAAACTGTAACCCAAGAGGCTCCTCGGCATGCTCTGGCGGAGCTCCGTGCGGCACTCACCGCCGAGGCCGTAGCACAGCGAGTGGAGGCTGGGAGGGCCCACGCTTCAGCGGTTTACAGGGGGGCCTTTGGGTTTAGGGGTTTGGGTATAAGGGTTCAGGGTATAGGGGTTTAGGGTTTAGGGGTTTAGGGTATAGGGGTTTAGGGTTTAGGGGTTAAGGGTATGGGTTTAGGGGTTCAGGGTTCAAGAGGTTTTGGGATGTAGGGGTTTAGGGTTTAATTAAGGTTCAGGATAGGCCTAGGCTTTGGGGCTTTGTCAGTGGCTAAGGGGGTTTATGAGTGGGGTGTGGTGTGTAGTAATTTAGTGTTTGGGGGGGAACTAAGATGTGCTTGTTGTTGTCAAGGTGGATACAGGATCTTAGGGTTCAGCCTTTGGTAGGGTGCAGAGAGTCATTATTATGTACCTGTCCCCGAGTATCTGTAAGGTTGGCTCCCTTTCTTGTGGGAATGATTGCTGCTTCCCCACTTTTCCTTCATTGGTAAAGACCTGTAGAACAACTCCGCCCGCATTTGAGTTTCGCTATCTATCTAGCTATCGATCTATCTATCTATCTATCTATCTGTCTATCTATCTATCTATCTATCTAACTAACTCACTCACAAACGAATAAACAATCAAACTAGCGAACGAACGAACTATCGATCAATCTATCGGTCTACCGATCCAATTACCTAGCTATCTATCTATCGAACTATCTATCTACCTATCTATCTATCTATCTATCCATCTATCTGTCCATCTATCTATCCATCTATCGATCTGTCGATCTATCTAGCGATCTATCTATCCCTACCTACCTATCTATGCATCTATCGATCCATCAATCTATCTATCTATCTATCTATCTATCGGTCTGTCCATCCGAACTGCCGACCTATCGATCTTTCTATCTGTGCGTCTATCTTCCTATACCCCAAACCCCTAAACCCAAAGGCCCCATCTCGTCTTGACAGGAGGATCTCGGGGACAGCTGCTTAGAAGCAGGCGGAGGTCCCCGGGTCGAACCGTAGCCGTGTCTAAGGGCTTCTTAGGGTTTAGGGGTGTAGGGGTTTAGGGGGGTTTAGGGTTTGGGTTTCTTTTAGGGTTTAGGGTTGATTTAGGGGTTTAGGGTT